CATCTGCCTGAAATATTTGTGATAGTTTAAGGTTAGTCCAGAGCAGCCTTCGGTTTGCAAACTTGAACACTAATTTGGTGCTAGTTGAGAAATGCTTTTAAATCTTTTATTTTATTATTATTATTATTATTATTATTATTATTATTATTATTATTATTATTATTATTATTATTATTAAATCACCCACTGCTCTTCTTTAAGAACAACCCCCCTGAATCTTCTCAATGCTCTGAGGCCTTACTTTTTGCAAAGTGCACAGACCCTGAGAAACAGAGATGCCGTATTTTTCCATGTATAACACGCCCCCTTGTATAAGATGACCCCTTTTGGGGGGGATTGCGATAAAAAATGGGGGGGGGATTGCCACAGCCACCAATTGTCTGCACGCTCACTGCCATAAGCCCTCCTGCACACTACACAAAACCACACACAATTGCACGCAAGCATCGCCACTGCCGCTAATCAATCGCCCAATTGCCGCAGCCTTGACGCAGACACCAATCACACCCCCAATCACCAATGCCAGTCTCCGGCCGGCTGCCACCACCAATTACCAGTTTTCTCCTGCTCTGGAGGGTGGGACTCGAATCCATGGCTTCAAGTTATGAGAAAGGAGATTCTGACTAAACACCAGGAAAACCTTTCTGACAGGAAGAGCAGTTCAAGAGTTGTGGACTCTCCTTCCTGGAGATTTTAAAGCAGAGGCTGGGTGTCCATCTGTCAGTGATTCTTTAACTGTGTTTCCTGAATTTCAGGGGGGTGGACTAGATGACCCCTGGGTCCCCTTCCAACTCTACAGTTCTATGATTCTATGAATTACCTTTCTACTCTCCTTTCTGTTAAATGATCCAAGAGCAAATTGCCCACCCTTTCTTGGGGCTTACCTCTGAGGTTTTCAGCAATGGTTCACATGACATGTTTTCTCCCGTGGCAATTTTCTTGCTTCAAGGTGATAGCCTTCCAGGACTTGTTCCTGCGAACAATGCAAGTTAGTCATTTGTTTGAAAGCCAGCCTGCCCCATGAGCCGAAGGCAGGGCACGGGTGCAACCTCTATGATGATACATCAACCCCAGTGCAGGGCTTGCTAAACTCAACAGAATTGCTGAATTGCAATTCCAAGTGCAACCTTCACCAAGTCTGCTCAGGAGCAAGTCCTACTGAATTCAGTGGGGCTTCTTCCGAGGTAAGTGTGGTTAGGATTGCAGCGTTCACTGTCTTATAAATTTAAGTCTTATTTATTTATTTCTAGAGTATTTTTTAATTGATTTTCAATTTTTAACATTTTTATAACATCATATCTCCATTTATATGTTTTTAGCTACAATTCAATTTATATTTAAAGTAGATAATTAAATGAGCAAATTAAATGAATTCTCATATGCAGAAGATATTAAAAAATAAATTTAAGGAACCGCAGAAATAGGGGGAAGGAAGCCAAACTTTGAAATGCTAAAATGATTGTGAAATTAATGAAATGTATAAATTTCAAAAGGATAAATAAAACCGTTTTTGAAAAAGCGCTTAATATTTTTATAATTGCACAGAAGTTGTTGCAGAAGAAGAAACCCAAGAGTCTTGAAGTTGTTGGAAGACTCCTTCCTGTTTTTGCTGCGACATACTCTGGGTCTTTCTTAGGAGAGAGCCTCGTTGAAAAACGTCTCCGGTTTTGACCCTGTTCTCTTCACCCCTTCCCATCTACCTCTTTGGAGATCACAGGTGTGGCTCCTCCAGATCTTTCCTACTTCTGGACGTTCTTGGACGACATTCTTTTCCTGAAGTGCAGACACAAGGAGCAGAGGAGGCGGCTGCTGTCGGCTCCAAGCTGGAAACGAAGGACAGGCTGCAATAAACTACATTCTCCTCCAGTGAGAAATGGCCAAAACTCCACCCATAGCCTGCTAGGAAAAGCTGTTGGCTTAAAGAAAGAGTTTTTGTCCGCACAAAAGCAATCATGAGGGTTAATCCTGCTAAATTCTGCTGCAAAGGAAGTTACAGACATTTCAACATTTTTGTTCGTGTGTCTTTGCAGCTATTTTGGTACGGGTGTTTCCCTCCACGACCTTGACTCTCACTGTCTTTGTGTCCCTTATTCCTGTCCTGAAGTTTTAAAGGGGTGCAGGCAGCAGCTGCCCAGCAGAGAGGCAAGGCACTCTGCACAAGCTCAGAGACCATTGTGGCCCCATTATCATGGAATCAGAAGATTTGCCTTCAGAGCCTCTTTCTTTTCCCTGGCATTTTGCAGATTGTGTAGCTGCAAGCTCAAGTTCCCGACCCCTGTGCTAGAATGGTGGAATATAATAAACTGCCCCCAACTGGGGAGAATAACCTTACCGTATTATTCTCTGTATAAGACTATATTTCCCCCAATTTTTTTAAAGTTTAAAATTGGGGATCGTCTTATACATGGCACGTTTAAAATATTTATTGCTTAATTTGGGACTCAAAAAATAGGGATCGTCTTATACATGGGGGCGTCTTATAGACGGAAAAATACAGCAATTAAAATTAAAGTCCTTCTACAGATTTTGCACACTTTCCCTGCAATCGCACTGTGCATGCTACACTTGCTATAGGAAAATTCCAGGGCTCACTTGGATTGCCAAACAAAGACACCAGCCAAAAAATGAGGAGCAAAACAGCAGCTGGTTGGCTTGATCTTTTATTCAAAAGACTGCTGCAACAGGACTTCTACATGGCAGAAGCCCCGAACAAAGGGATGCTTCCTCTTTCATAAGTTTTCTTTTTATGGGAATGTTCAGGGATGCAGGAGAGGATATATTGTCTGATTATAGCCTTTCCAACTTGTGTAAACAAGTTCACAATTTAGCAGAGTAACATTCCCCTTTTTAAACTCGCAGCGGATGCGTTTGCTCAGGCTCACTAAAGCCTCTATAATAACTGTTCTGGTATTTCCCCCTTATTCCCTCATAAAAGATAAGACACGACACAGTCTTCTATAAAAGTATAAAAAGAGTTTACTCACACATCATTCTGTTCACAATAGGATCCCAGAAGGCAGACTTAGCTTAGAAAAGTAACATACGCCTGGAAACTCTCTCATAAGAAGACAGTCCCTTTGTCCTCTGTTTGGCTGGAGGCCAAGAGAGCATCTTTGGCTAAGCAGATGTTGCTTCTTCAATGCATGTAGTCAAAGAGAGAGAGATGGCTGCCCTGCCCTGTGCTTTTGTCATTACCTGCACAGGTGAGGCCACACCCACCTCTAGTCACATGCAAAGGAAGTCTGTCCCAGCCCAGAAGGAAACAGGAAGTTTACCTGCTGGCTGGACAAACATTCCTCCCCATGTGTAAACATGTTCACTCTAGGAATGTTGTAGTTGTGTTTCACATCCCACACTTTCCCCCATAAACACCTTTGGTGAAGCATCATGCACACATATTAGATACATCACACATATGTCACAAATGGGGAGGGGTCTCTGGCAGAAACCCGTCCATCGGGTTCTGCCCCCAACCCTCTCTTGCCCTCCACCTTAGCCCCATCGAGTGATACAAAGGAAGTATTGACAAGTTCCTGGGTTTCCAGGTCAGGTAATGACACCTCTTTGTCCTGACCCGGGAGCACAATCCATTCTTGGATGGTTGGCTATTGCGCATGAGATCACTACCTGCCTGGCACCCATTTGCCAGGATGCCAGGGAGTATCTCTTGTGCAAGACGCTGCTGAGCATGTGATCCCAGGTTTCAGGGATTATGGTTGCCCACATCCCAGACTCCCCCCTTGATAGCTATTCCTTCCCTGAACAGAACAAAGTTGGAATGGCACAAATCCAGACAGGAGCGATTTTATATGCCTTTCTAAGGTTTTCCCAGTGAGCCAGTATGTAGATATGTTTATTAGTGGATTGTTGCATTTGGTGATGTGCAGCGGAGGCCCTTTGAACAGAGAAAGGGAAAAAACTGTGATGAAGTGTTTTGTGGGGACATTTGCAGGAGTGATTGTGTTGAGTTTGGTAGTTGGTGTGTGTGTGTGTGTGTGATGTCTGCTGGAGGGCAGACACCCTGCTCGCCCCCAACCTTTACATAAATTCCTGTAACACACTCCAGATATATGCATGTGAAATAAAGTTTTTGTGCGGCATAAACAAAACATAGCATGTGAAATGAAACTGCGAGATCTCTGCTGCGCTGTTGTGCAAAGAGGAGAGAAACTGCTATCTTGTTTTGCATTTAAGGTGGCGCAGAAGATAGAAACCACTGATATGAAAAATTCCTGCCTATTGGGGTTTCCCACACTAGGCAGGGTGTTATTTCTAACAGTGCAAATTCTCAGAAATGGTCCACAGCACACAGCTTTTGCTTTTGCTTTCGCTGTTTACTCCCATAGTTTCCCTGCAGCTTTCTCTGCCTTCCTTGTCCTCCTGAGCCAGGAGAGCCTTCTGAAATCTCAATCAGGGATAGTCCGACCACGAGGTGGGAGAATGCATCTTCTCAAAGAGCCCCTGTTTTCCAGGGACAGCCCAGGAATTGCAGAAGCCATCCCAGTTTCTGATTTGATCCTGCAATGCCCCGGTTTTCCTTTTTCCTCCCCTCGGAAGTATGGGAGAACAAAAGTGGTGTGTAGGGGCAAAAATGGACTCCTGTTTACCCTGAAAATAAAATTCCTGCACCAAATGGAGGAAATGGTGATGGCGGCACACAAAGCCCCTCCTATAATTTTGAAGGAAAAGGTCACCAATCCCCTTTCCATTCCGTAATTGCAATGCTTCAGCTGCCAGCCATTTCTCAGGAAACACAGGGGGGGGGGTTATTCCTTAATTGTAAATGGAGCCTTGCGCTGTCTACTCATATGTAAATCCCACGGTATTCAATGGTGCTTACTCCCAGGCAGTGGCGTAGCGTGGGTTGTCAGCACCCGGGGCAAGGCAAGTAATTTGCGCCCCCTAACCCATGGATTTGCGCCCCCTAATCCGTGGATTTGCCTAACCCCCAGATGTTGCGCCCGGTGCGGCCGGCCCCCCCTGCACCCCCCACTCTACGCCACTGCTCCCAGGTAACTGGGTAAAGACTAGGCAGCTTTACACTGTAAGCCGAACCATGTTTACTCAGAAGTAAGTCCCACTGAGTTCAATAGGATTTCCCATGGGGCTGCCCTACAAATACCAGACAGATTAAAGGGTCTGAGGAACAAGGAGGTGGAATGAGGGATGCAGGACAAATTTGATCCAGCTTCCTTTGAAAGGTGGAAATAGTAAATTTCCACTTTCCAAAGCAAAATGAAACAGCCAATATCTAAAATCCTCCCTTTGTGGAATCTCGCGACGCAGTTCTCTAGCTGGAGTTCACAAGAACGCGTAAAACCGTGAAAATGACATGCAAAGGTGCATTTTATTAGGAACTGTGTCTTGCAAAAGTATGTATGTAATTTACAAAGGTGTTTGTTAGGAGAAATTGACACAAAAATATGGCTAAACTTTCATAATGGTTCAAAAATAAAAATAATGCATTTCCAGAGAGTTTAAGACAGGGAAAATGAGAAACCGAGAGAACTGAAGTGGATTGATGTATCCACTCCTATGTGGGGTTTAGGAAACTGCAGACAGTTATGTTATTATTTTCATAAAATTCCTTTACCTCTTGATTGTAGAAAACCTCAAACTGCTTTGCAAAATGAATAAAACAACAGGATTATGATTAATAACAATGAAAACATCCACAAATTAAACCCAGCGACAAACTACAAACTTATCAGTATTCTAAATATGTGAGTAGCCTTGTCTGATCAAAAATGTTTTTGCAGGCAGCAAAAAAAAGCAAAGTTGCCTGCCTGATGTCGATATGCAGGGAGTGTTGGTGCCGCCACACCGAAAGAGCAATTACTTTTCAATGCAGAACAGATATTATGTGGCACCTGTAACTGTGCCCATTCTGCCAATCAAAGCAGTCCAAAGACCACATGTGGGGTCAGGCGATCTCAGGGCTAAACTGCTCCCAAACTGTTAAGAACTTAATATCCTGAGAGCAATGCCTTGAACTTGGCCTGGCAGCAAATCGGGAGCCAGGGCAGTTCTCTGAGCCCAGGCGTCCTAGGCTGACAAACACCTGCTGCTGTCAACAATGGTGGCATCCTGCACTCATTGCAACTTCCAGATTAGGCACAAGGGAAGCCCCACATATTTTAGAAAGAAACGAAACACTATGAACTAGATGATATAAGAGCATCCTTCAATTCTTTCCCCTTTCCTCCTCTTTCCCTTTTTCTGTGCAGGGCCTTGATCCGTCCCCGTGAAGGATCTCCCAGAGCTTTTCCATCAGCAGCTTGGAGGCCTCCTCCTTCTCTTCTCCAGCTGCCTTGTTATTCAAAGCGAAGTAGCGATTCCCACATTTCTTAACCAGTTTCAGGAGCGCCTTGTTTTGGGAATTCTCCACATAGTCCTCCAAGGATTCACCTTTCAAATCCTCTTTGTGGGTGAACAAGACAAGCATGCGCTTCCCAAACTTCTTCCTAAACACCTTCTTGACCTTTTTAGCAGTTTTCTTGTCTTCCCGAGTGAAACGGCCCACAGTGATCACAAAGACCAGAACGTAAGGACTGGACTTGCGGAGGTTTTTGATCTCTTCCTTGTGCTGTTTGAGAGATTCTGAACTAGAGACAGCGGGTGTGTCAATCACAGAAAACTTCTGGCCCTTAAATTCTCCACTCTCCTTCTGGACATTCTGAGTTGTTGGCTTAGCTGAAAAAGCCGAGTGAAATTTCTCCCGTCCGAGGAGAGTGTTCCCTGTGGCACTTTTCCCCACACCGGCCTTGCCAAGAAGGACGATACACGGTTCTGATTCTTCCTTGTCCTCTGTGAATTAGAAAGATCACGTCAGAGCAGTGCTTTTCAACTTTTTCGAGCCCACGGCTCCCTTGACCAACCACATTCTTGCAGTGGATCCCCTGGGGATCCATTACACGTAAGGGAGGGAGTCCCCCCTTCCTACCCGTCCCTTTTATTTTTTTAAAAAATAATAATTTCTAAATTAATTTTACATTTATGATTTGACATTCAAACTTAGAATACAATAATGAAATATTGAATTCTCTGAATTCTCCGACCTCCCCCCTCCCCTCCGTGGAGTCCACAAACAACATCTTCTTCTGCATCTCATACCGTTCTCTATTTATCTATATAACTCAAATTTTAACCATAGTCTTTTTCACATTGCAAGTGTTATTGTAGTCCTGCTAATGTTTTTAATTGTTTACAGTGTTCTTTCAGGTACTGTGGTACCTCAGGATGAGAACAGAAATTGATCTCCCGCGGCGCGGCAGCGGCAGGAGGCCCCATTAGCTAAAGCGGTGCTTCAGGTTAAGAACAGTTTCAGGTTAAGTATGGACCTCCAGAATGAATTCAGTACTTAAACCGAGGTATCACTGTATATGGAATAAACACACACACAAACATATTTTGAGGAGCAAAAAAGAGGACACATTTGCCGACTTCTACTGGAAAAAGATGGGGAAAAGGTGGTGCTGTGGGTTAAACCACTGAGCCTAGGACTTGCCGATCAGAAGGTCGGCAGTTCGAATCCCCACGACGGGGTGAGCTCCTGGTGCTCAGTCCCTGCTCCTGCCAACCTGGCAGTTCGAAAGCACGCCAAAGTGCAAATAGATAAATAGGTACCACTCCGGCGGGAAGGTAAAAGGCGTTTCCATGTGCTGCTCTGGTTCGCCAGAAGCGGCTTAGTCATGCTGGCCACATGACCCGGAAGCTGTACGCCGGCTCCCTTGGCCAATAAAGTGAGATGAGCGCCGCAACCCCAGAGTCGTCCGCAACTGGACCTAATGGTCAGGGGTCCCTTTGCTGGAAAAAGAGGACACATGGCAGCCCTCTATGATATTCCCTATCCTGTGCAGCAGGATGTTAAACTCAATGGGGGAACACTTACCAGAATCTTGTGCGTTGTCTTCTTTCCGCCGCAATCTGAGCCACCACTTCTGCCGCTGGAATGTTTGTTGCAACATAACATGTTAGCTACTAGCAGCCTTCGGTCAGCAAACCCAACGCCCCGGGACACGGGTCCTCAAAAGTGCAAACTTGAGAGAGGATTATCGTAAATGTGTGGGGCCTGTGTTCCTTGGGGGAGAGGGTAGTTAAAAGGTGTCAGGAACTGGGGTTATTGACAGGAGTGGGTGATGGGCTCATGTTTCTACATGCCAAACACTCCTACTTTGTGACCTATTTGTGATGTATCTGGAAATGTATTATGGGAAGGGGTGGAACGTCTTAAAAGTTCATGCAACCCCATGCTCGGGGTTCCTATTCTCCGTGTGTTTGAACCTTGTTGCAACAAATAAAGATCAGGTTTACTGGCTGCTGTTTTGCTTCTTTCACTTGGCTGGAGCCTCCTCCTCCTGCTGACCAGAGGGATCTGCGGGGAGGGCACCCCGACGAGCCAGGCAGCGGAGGAAATCCTCACCCCAGGATTTTTCCTTATCGCTGAAGTGGCAATTGACAAAAGCTCCTCCTCCATTAGCATCACGAGGACCAAACTGGGACTGCAAAAGCTACTTCCTCTGTCCTGCAAGAGAGCTGGGAGGAGAGCTGGACTCTTTTAGCCGGCCAGGATCCGGATATCTCCTAAATGGCTCCTTTGTTCCCACTTACCTTGGGGGATCCTGACTGCTTTGCCATATCTCGCTGCCGCTGGCTCACCCGCCCCGGTCTCTTCTCCCTGCAAATGACAGAGTTACGGCTGTACGAACGATTGCAAGCTACTTTCTGTGGCAGACTTTTATTTTTGCAGTCCATACATTTTTATTTTTATTTTAAATCCCAGTAAAATCCCACTTATTTCTTTATTTCCACTGATGTGCAGATTTACAGAAGGAAAGCCACCAGCATGACACACATGAAGAGGAAATGTTTTACAAATTCAAAAGACCACACACCCATTAAACGGATACCAATCCAGACATTTCTACAATTGTGCAGTTGGTGTGCCATGACTCTGTCAGACTTCAGAGATATCATTCTCAGGCAAAAAAGGCTTTTAAATGTGTCAAGAGATGGAATCACTTTTCGTGCTTAGTCAGCTGAGCCTGAGGGTAAAACTCGGTGCCGTCAGGAATTAGAGCAAAACTGATCCTACCACAAATTCTTCAAATAATTTTAAAATATTTTGGCCATGAATCCACCCCAAATCTTGGGTTTTGTTTCCTTATTTTATATGCAATTACCGGGTACTTAATTTTTTTTTCTGGGCAGAGTTGTGGCACTCAAAAGAGGTTCTGAGGCTAAGCCCTGCCTCAAATCAGTTCTCTCAGTTTCTCATTTTGACAAATACAGCTCTCTAAATTTGTGCAGCAATCTGCATAAAAAATAAAACAAACCTCATGTAAATTCACCAGCATTTACTGCAAATCTCTCCTAAAAAACATTTTTGTATGTACACATTCTTGCAAGCAATTCCCCCCAACATAATGCATGGATTATTTTATTTTGTTTTTAAAGTAATATATGTATTTTATTCCACACTTTCCCCTGCTTTTTGCATTTTCATATACATTGTTTGGCTGCAGAAGTCCATCAGAAAATTCAGAAAAATGTGAATCGCGAAGGTTGGCTGTGTTTCAGTTTCCATTTTATTTCAGAAAGTGCAAATTATGTAGGCTCAATTTTAACTGTGAACTGAATTCCTCCCCTGTCCCTATCCTCACATAAAGTCCCCTCAGCGAGGCATCACCAACCCTCATCTTTTCATGGGCAAACATTTTGTGAGCCAGGTTTCATCCTGTCATCATGCAAACGCCCCCTGGGATGGCTACAACCAGCAGATTCCGAATGCCTATTTTGATTTCTTCATGCAGGAATGCTTTGCCCGTGAGCTGCAGTCCTAACCATCCCATTGGGCTCAGTTCTGAGCCGACACGTACAAAATTGCACCATGAAAAAACTAATCGGTTTGGACTCCTTTGCCTGCCCCCCCTCTCACCTGCAGCTTCCGTCTCTTCCCCCTACCTTTTTGGAGATCACAAGAATTCTCTCTTCATCAGTGGATTTTTCCTATTTCTGCTGTGTATGCTGCTCCTTCCTCCGCTCTCCCTGAAATTGTTCAGCTTGTGAGACGAAGGTTCACTCGGAGCTGAAAATGAAAGTTCACGGGGAGGAATAAATTCAGTTTCCTGAAGCAGAGCAGGGGATGCCCCCTGGCTGCCCGAGACAGCAGCAGGTTGGAAGGGAAAAGGCTTTGAAAGCAACTCCGGGGGGAGAGGGAGACTGCAAGAAGCAGAGAGCCCAATCCTGCACATGCATTCTCGAAAGCCAACCCCACAGAGTCCATGGGGCTCCAGTCACGGCACGTGGACAGAGAAATGAGACAGAAAAGTTTCCCTCTCTCATTAGAACTTGTGTCCAGGGCCGGATTGAGGTTTGATGAGGCCCTCAGCTCCTGAAGGTAATGGGGCCCTTTCGATGTCCAGCTGTCCTTCGTCAACAACAAATTGTCGCTGGTTTTTTTGTGTTGAATATATGCTATATGGTCATTTATGGACGTCATAGGTATCTCAAGCCATTTGCACATCACAAAATATGCATTATATCAAAGTAATTGTTTTTTATCTTCTATTTTGGAAATGAGGAGGGACACGAGTGGCGCTGTAGCCTAAACCACAGAGCCTAGGACTTGCCAATCAGAAGGTCGCGGTTTGAATCCCCGCGACGGGGTGAGCGCCCGTTGCTCAGTCCCTGCTCCTGCCCACCTAGCAGTTCGAAAGCATGTCAAAGTGCAGTAGATAAATAGGTACCACTCCGGCAGGAAGGTAAACGCCATTTCCATGCGCTGCTCTGGTTTGCCAGAAGCGGCTTAGTCCTGCTGGCCACATGACCCGGAAGCTGTACTCCGGCTCCCTCGGCCAGTAAAGCGAGATGAACCCCAGAGTCGGTCACGACTGGACCTAATGGCCAGGGGTCCCTTTACCTTTACCTTTATTTTGGAAATGTACCATTTCCCCCCCATTACATTTTTTAGGGGACCCCAAGAGAATGGGGCCCTAAGCTATAGCTTCTTCAGCTTATACGAAAATCCAGCACTGCTTGTGGACATTCACATTTGCAAAATGCTCTCTAAACTGCAGGTCAGATCGGAGCTGAGCTACTTTCCAGAGAGTAACTGCTTTGCTGCTTCAGAACTGATAAGCCATTTCTTATCTCAAGTCTGGCAAACAGACTTGCAGGAGAGGCTTGTCTCAGGAGAAAGCTGCTCTTTCTCCTCTTTCACTTTAAAAGCAAGGCAGAATGAAATGCTTTTATTTTTTTAAAAGAATATTTCTGTATTTTATTGCTTAAGGTTAGAATCATAGAAGTGATCCTGAGATGATCCCCAGGATCATCTAGTTTAACGCTCTGCAATGCAGGAATCTGCAAGTTGCCGTAAGGGGATCAAATTCGTGACCTTGGCGCTATGAGCACCATGTTGGTTTGTCATCAGGAGAATTTAGAGAGGGGAAATTGCGTGCAGGCAAAGGGTTAAACACCGGCTTCTCTGTCTTCTGAATACCCCCCTCCCCAAACCATTTTTCTTCCTCTTTTCAAAATTTCTTTATGGAGTCTCATTCCTGCTTGTTTGGGACTCAGTCAGTGGTCGGTGTCACACGTTGAAAGAACAGTAAAAGCACATGACTTCCTTCGAGGAATCCTGGGAACTGTAGTTCACCTCCTAGAGAGCAACAATCCCAGACACCCTTCACAGACTCGTTCCCAGAATTCTCTGTGGGGAATCATGCAACTTAAATGTACTGTGTGCAGTCAGCCCCAATCACCTATTTGTTAAGTGGGAATAATTATGGTTTGCCACCCAGATCAGAATCCTTCCCATTAACAAGTGGGGATTTTGATCTGTACTGGCAATATCTGCACAGCAATATCTGGTTTTCATCATTGCAATGACATTTATATATCACAATGTCTGAAATAAGGATGGAACTATATAGATGTGAACAGATATCTGGTTTTCAACATGGCCATATATCACCAGCTAAACACCATGATATGCCAATATATCACAATGTCTGATGTATGGATGGAGCTGTGTAGAGGCACTGACTGGCTTCACGGTTTTTCCCACATTGGGATTTCTGCATAGTACACACGCATCATGACTTGTGATAAACTGCCAGGTCAAATATTATGAAACCAATATCACAATATGGACTTCAAACCAGTTTTGGATGATATATTGTCCAGCCCTAGTACTGGCTTTGATAAGGTTCATACATGTGAGGTCGTTTTCCTTGTTTGCGTGTGTGGAACAGTTTCATATGTGCTTCTATGTTATGTTTGTCCTGTTCAATTGGTTTGATGTGTGATTCAGAAATGGAATGAACTGATTAATCAATCAAATCTCTATTACTGCCATAGACCAGAATAAGTAGGGTGGGGTGCAATGATTTAGAATCTGTAAAATGTTTTGGATAGCTTAAAAGTATTAAAAGAGAAGGTATATCTAAAACAGTGTTTCCCAACCGGTGTTCCGCGGCACACGAGTGTGCCGTGAGACGTTGCCTCGTGTGCCGCGAGATGCCTGGAGGGAGGCGGGCGAGTCGGGCGGCGAGAGGCGGGGCGGCGACGGCGAGGAGAGGCCGCGCCTCCTGCTGTTGCCTGGCGCTCCTCCTCGCAGCCGGAAGCGCTGCCTGGGCGCCTCCGCGCGACTCTGCCTCGCTGGGTTTGGTCTCCCAGCAGAGACGGGTCACACGCGCCCCTCCCTCCCTCCCTCAGCCTGCGCGGAGGGAGAGCCAGAGAGAGGCATCGCTCCTGCGCGGCGGGAGAGGGAGGAGCCGGAGCGATGCCCCAAACGAACGCATGGGACCGGAGGGGAAATCCTCTCCGAGGCGGATTGAGCGCAGCTGAGAGAAGCCTTTCGAGGAGCTGCCGTGTCCCCTGGAAACCCCCTTCCCAGCTCTGCCTCAGCCGCCGCCGCCTCAGTTGCCGCCGTCCCTCAGTCCCTCGCTCTGCTGCCTCCTCCCACCCCCAAAGCTTGGAGGTTCCCCAGCAAGGGGGAGGGAAAAAACTTTCACTTTTGTGCGTCCCTCCCGGCGTGACGCTGCGCGCTGACGTCACGGGGCGGGGCTTTAATGGTGGTGTGCCGCGAGATTTTTTTTCAGTAAACAGGTGTGCCGTTGCCCAAAAACGTTTGGGAAACACTGATCTAAAAGACTATAAGAATCTAAAAGAAACTAAAAAAGGGGTTAGGAGCATTAAATGGATGTGGAGGAGCATAAAAGGTTAGTATATAAAAGACTACAACTATCAGTTTAGAGAGCACTATGATGTGAGTGTTCATTAAATCTAGTTTGTGGTGCAGGTCATCATCCGATGGATCTTGAGCGCTGCTGTGCAGAATCTGGCAACGTTGTATGTTGTAGCAGGGTTGACAGCAGCAGGGAGGTATAAAATTGTCCTGTGCACCTTGGGGTACTTATGGTGTAATGGGGAGAGGAGGCTGATACTAATGTCTCTGTAATATAGGAGGTGGAGAAGCACATGCTCTGTTGTTCCTGTTTGTCCAGAGTCACAGGGGCATTGCAACTGATACAGTGGCAAATAAAATACTAAGCATGCGATTATTATGACATTGCAATCCGGTTTGTTCATTTGTTTATTTGTTTTTCTCCTGACACCTCATAAGAAGCTGGTGGGCTGGCTTTAAAAATCCCCAGCTTTGCTAAAGGGGAGATATTGAGAGAAACGATTATAAAGAAAAAAGTAAAGCCCTGCACCACACACACATATGACGAGAAATATTTTTATGTAGCTGACACCCTTGCGAGCTTTCCCTTTCCCCTCTCCCTTGGCCCTTTTCCTGCAGATGTAAGATCCAAGCGCTGCCTCCATGATGGGCGTCTCCAGGTATGGCTCTTCATTCCCCTGGACCATCTCCAGGACCATCTCCATCAGCTCAGAGACCTGGTCCTCCCGTTCTCCTAATGCCGCCCTGTTATTAAAAGCACAGAAGCGCCCCCCGCATTCTTGGACCAGCTTCCGGACAGCCTCGTTATCTGACTGCATCACGTAATCCTGCAAGGAGTCGCCTTCTAAGGCTTCTTTGCGGGTGAACAAGAGGATGGTGTGCTTCATCGCCTCTGTCCCAAACATCTCCCGGACTCGCTGGGCTGCCTCCTCATCCTCCGCGGTGAAGCGGCCCACCTGGGTCACAAACACGAGCGCATGAGGGCCAGGCTGAGAGAGGTCAAGGCAGCGCTTGGTCTCCTGGTCCAGCCTTTCATCACAATCTCCGGTCCCCAAAATATCTGCTGTGTCAATCACGGACACAGGATGGCCTCTCCAAGTGCAGGACGCCCTCTGGCAGACCAAGGTGGTTGTCCTGGCCTGAAGTTTCGAATCAAAGAGCTTCTGGCCAAGGATGGTGTTTCCTGTGGCGCTTTTGCCGCCTCCAGTCTTGCCCACAAGGACGATCCTCAGTTCTCTCCTATTTCCTGCGGGTTTTGAAAGACAGCAAAGAGCTGGTCAGCAAAAATATCAGAGCAACCACTTCTGGTGGGATCCCTCTTAATATGTGATTGTTGAGAATTATATTGTTTTCTGATCCTCAGAGAGACTGAATGGATATGTAAAGTGTAAGGTAAAGGTAAAGGGACCCCTGACCATTAGGTCCAGTCATGACCGACTCTGGGGTTGCAGCGCTCATTTCGCTTTATTGGCCGAGAGAGCCGGCGTTTGTCCGTAGAAAGCTTCCGGGTCATGTGGCCAGCATGACTAAGCTGCTTCTGGCAAACCAGAGCAGCGCACGGAAACCGCCGACCTTCTAATCGGCAAGTCCAAGGCTCTGTGGTTTAACCCACAGCGTCACCTGCGTCCCTTATGTAAAGTGTACACATGTATAAATAAAAGCAGAAGAAGAACAGATTGGGAAACATTTGTGTACACCTGATAAATTCAACAGTGTAAATAAGTTTTGATGGATACAATAATGGAATACTGAATGGTTTAGTTTTTGTAAAATATGCAGGGATTTATGATATGCATCTTGAATTTGAACAAGCGTTAGTTCCTTTTCCCAGCTCTGGTCAGTGCAGGCAAGAATGAGCCGGGCGAACCAGTGGCCTGATGCAGCCGAGGGCATCTTTCTAGGTTCCTGCAGACGTGCGTCAGGATGGCATCCCAGCCAGGCACCTCCCACCTCCCCAAATCCCAAAATATTACACATTGGTATAACAATAGTTTTTTCTGCAAATAAATAAAATAAATGTCATTGGGGGTGCCATGAAAAACTCCTGCGAAATAGATCTGGAATAATCCACCCACCCCAAGCAGTCCATCTGCCTCTGGGTCACTGGAAC